CTACTCAACCCAAACTACCAGAACTAATTCCTTAGGCTGTTACAGGAATTTTGATGATTGTTTGTTCGCCTTGCGATCAACAACAAAGCGAGTGTCGGTTACCAGAAAAAAACATCTCTCGCTTGATTGACTCTTGAAAATCGGCCATCAATAGCGCCCTAAATAGCCGCTCTTTGATTCCACGAAACAGTAGTGGATCTTCTCTTTGTTGCCGCCTCTTTTGTGTCGCTGTTGACATTGTAAACAGACACCCCATAGTGCCTTAATCGCAGCTAAGTATACCGGCCTTAATCAGCTTTGCCATTTTCATTCCCGGCCTTTATCTGATTCACTTCTTCCGCATAATGACGAATCGAAAAGCGTTGTTTTTTTTTAGTTGAAAGCTCACGCACAATGGATTATACAATCGCGGCTCGAATGCATATTTCTTGAGAAACATCATTGGTACTGTTTGTTTTATAGATGCCAGTTGCAAACTTCCCCAAGTGTAAATGAGAAAGTTACTTAACTAAGAAGTAACTGAGCTTCAAAACTTCCCTTCTTCCATATCACTGATAATTGTTAGAGCCATTGGTCGCGTCCGATGTCTCGTTTACGCTTAGAAGATTGAAACTGGACAACTTTTCCATTCCAATTTCATTTAAAATTTGCATCAGTTCCGAATATTCCATCAAAAGTTTTGCGTGCGGGGTCTGCTTTGAATTTAAATCAAGTTAATAACTGAACTAAATAATAAAATCAAAGCACGTTTGATATAAACAGAGGGCCAGGAGTTTGTCGGCTTCGCCGTCCCGTCGATGATTTCTTTGGGGAAATAACAACTTCTAATTATTTGCGTGCTTGGTAGCATTTAGACACCAGCTTGGGGAGTTCTTGACTTAATCCTGTAGGCGAAAGAGAGAATTTGCAGTTGTCGGGCACAGATAACTCATTTCGATTAGTGGCTTAAGGAATTGAATGGAAATACTACTGCACAGGAAAAAATGATAAAGATAGAGAAACAAAAACTTTGTCGCCATCCTTATTAAATTACCGTTTATCTGGATTCTCTTCCCCTAGAGCTAGTCAGAAAGAGTGACAATTTTCCCGTTAAGACGTGGTCCAAAGCAAGAATCCAGGAGAAACTTGAAAATGCTTGGCTTTCTTTTGCTGACAAACTTCCAACAATGTTTTTATGGTGCTACTAACTAATAAGCAAGAGACATAAAAAGCACTGTGGCAACCATGCGCCCAGGTAAACATTTGTTGACATCCCCGCCAGCTTTACAGCGACTTTGCGGTTAGATTTCCTGTTATGCTCCTCAAAGCTTCAAATGTGTAACCACTCCAAACATGCATAAAGTTTTTGTATAAGGAACTTTTCCTTGAGATAAGCGGACCGAAAGTGTTTCTAACGGATCAATGGCGATGGGATCCTCCCATCGAATCGAGACCCGGTAGCATAATAGATTGTTATAACACTGCAGGAGGTAGAATATTCCCTACGTTCTTTGGTGAAAGTTCAAACAATTACAATTAATTGTATAAAAAAGAAGTAGCCAGGAGCGTACAATAGGGCGATATATCAATAGCAGGGAATCATAATACCACTTAGGTGCGACCTTAGTCGGTCCTTCGGTACGCGTGCTGAGCCCTAATTGGTGCTCTTCTCACACGTGTTTGTTAATGTAACGTCCATTTTCGCTCTGAAATTGTATTATATTCGCTTTTGTTCCTAACGAGCTTAGGCCCTTGGACGAGTGCGGTACATTTTTGGCCCGAATTAACCCCATTTGTCAGATGGGATCGGGATACTCAACTTACAAACAGCGCATCAACAAAGTTTCCGTCAAATTATAACTTTAACAGTAGGAGAATAATGAGGCAAAGAACGAGATCAGAAATAAATTGTGTAAAATCTTAACAAATTTCAAAGGCAAAATAAAACAGAACACAAATAAAAGTATGGCATGTCATGTTAATGGACTGATAAATGAAACAAAAAAATGTATGTATGAAAACACAAACATTTGCATACTAACAGCAGATAAATTTGCAAAACTGTAATTATGTTAAAAAGTGAATACAAAACGAAAATGCTAGGCTTACCTACTACTTACTTATACTACCAATATACAAACAAAATTAAATAAAATAAGAAATTTATGGCGTAAAAAGAAATTCATAACAGATAATTTGAAACGAACACTATCTTGCAACAATGGCCGAGCACCATTTATATATGGCCTACCAAAACTGCATAAGGAAAACATTCCATTACGACCGATAGTTAGTACCATAAATGCTCCAACGTACCGATTATCTATATATCTGTCAGCAGTTTTAAGTAATGTATTGGGAAAGTCACAATATTACATTAAAGACTGATTTTATAAAACAAAACAACAAAAAATACCAAAGAATCATCGGATAATATCACTGGATGGTGTATCATTATATACAAACATACCAATACATTACTCAATAAGCTGTATAAAAAATAAATGGGCAGAGATAAAAGAACATTCAAAATTACCCGAAAAAGAATTTATTGAGGCGGTAGAATTGTGCTTAAAATCCACATATTTCCAGTACGAAAACAAGTTCTATTCACAGATATATGGAGTAGCAATGGGTTCTCCCATAGCAGCAACAATTGCAAATTTGGTAATGGAAAATTTGGAAGAACAAATAATATCTAAATTAAACTATAAGTGTGAATTTTTTAAACGATTTGTGGATGACTGCATAATGTGTCTCCCAAAAGACAAAATTCGATATACACTAGATACGTTTAATGCCTTTCATGACACCCTAAAGTTTACTCTCGAAGAAAATAAAAGAAATTCTATAAACTTTCTAGACCTAACAATTAATTATGATAACAACGGGGAAATCAAAACA